CCACTTGAATGTTTTAAAGACATTAAAGAGTGTAGTTTTCTAGAAATAAGTTACATTACACTAAAGTTACATGTAGTAAGCAAAACGACAATATAATCACTCACGATAAAGGAAAACGTAACATATATGCTATAACTGTATTAGATTGTAATAAAAATAAGTTGATATACAGTTCTCTAAATCTAAATATACTGGTAACACCACAGAGATCTAATCTTAACCAACCCAGGGATTTGTATTGGTCTTGAGACACAACAAAGAAAATACTTTTGAGACATTATATCTTATTATGGAATTCACTTCAGACATTTAGGAAGAAACCAAGATAATGTCACAAATACTGGAACATTATATACAGATAGAAAATTCTAATAGCTGTAATAATATTGGGATATTCTATGAGATATTTGTATTTTTTGTAAGAATTATAAACAAGCTTTAAAAAGAGATAATACAGAATCAATGAAACATCTTCTTGGGAAATGTGTACAGGTATTGAAGAGGTACTCATAGATCCTTTAAAGTATCAGTTGATTAAATAATGCATTGGATCCTTGAATTGAACTACCTGGTATTGACAACCTTGGTTCTATCAAATCATGAATACACGCCAATGAGATATTTATGGAGACAATGTAATAATCACTATACAGTAAGTAAATCCTGAAATCTCAGGTGGAATTCAAAGATTTTAAATAATTACTAAGCTTACAAATGAGTTCACAACATCAGATATCAATGGAACAAGTTACACAATCCACCTAAGGAGGATTGCTCAGAGACAAATTTCCTTTTTTCCTGAAATGTCAAGGTCATCCAGTTGTTTTTCAAACAGTGCCTTTTTAGCCAGGAACAAAAATTTCTGAATTAACACACATTAATTTTCAGCAACCGAAAGAGAATAATTGTACAAGCAAATTAAAAATATTGTTACCTAGTGCACAGAATACATGTATAAATATCTATGTTACCTTGCTATTACTATACTATTTCAAACTTACAACGTCTACAAAATACATACATGTACATATTATATTGAGTTATTATTACTGATATAGAGAATATAGTATATGGATATGTAAAGAAAAATGATATATGAAATATCTGACAGGTAGTACCGGTGTTTCCAGATTATTTTGTTTTTCTTTCAACTGAAATTTTATTCTAATAGCATATATAATCAATGTCTCATAATACACGTTGTACTTAACAATGAGATAAAACCGTCCTTTTGACATATCCTTCAAAATAAAAAAAATAATTTAACTGGCAAGAAGTGGAATATGATACTTGACAGCTAAATATTAATTAAAGGTAGAAATGGCAAACTGTGGATTAATATTCTTCAAACAAAACATCTTTTAAAATCTTTTTAATGAACACCTATATAGATAAAGAACTACAAAGATAACTGTTAAAAGTATGTAAATATTTCAACAAGTGCAAATCAGTAAATAATGTATAAATAAATCATGAAATGATTAAAATCTAACCAGGAATGATTAAAGATTCAATTTAGTAAAGTATCTTGAAAGAAAAAAAGTTTTAAAACATCCATGATATTAAGACCACAAAGTTTGAACTATTCAGAGTTGAGATGGATAAGTTTAACATGCAGATAAGGAAAATTTGTCACAACCACTATATAATCATGTATTTCCTGGTACTGGATTTCTACTGACCAATATCTGATGTAATGAAAGGAGATACATTTAAATAATACAAATACATTGTAATACTTTGTTTTAAAAGTTATTTTGTTTAGGCAGAACCAACTTAGCAGTTAACTGTATTGTCTTGACTGAATTTGTGTAAATGAAATGAGGGATACATTTACTTGTAAATAAAATATAACTGGAATGATAAGCATCAAAAATACCTTTTCAAAATTACCATCTACAAACAAATAAAAAAAAAATCATTCAAAAATTAAAATGAGACAAAACACACAGTCAACAAATACAAGTGTCCATTTCAATTTTACAAAGGTAAATACCTGATAATACCCTTACTGGTCCCTCCGAGACTAATAATGCCACATTTTGATTAGGTGTAAATTAACCCTGTTTAAATCAGAAATCTTTTATTTAGGATATTGTATAGTTTGTATTTGCAATCATTTTAATTCCGCTGTTTTTGTGATTATTATACATCGTGTGATATTAATTACTCAGCAAGTATTTTTACATTGAATCAAAATCTTGGAAAATATATGGTTCTTTTTATGATCTACCTATCTTGGCGCACTTCTTTATATTTGAGACAATCAAGAATAACATTGATCTCTGATACCAATACATTATTTCGGTTCTTAAAATAAATAATTAATATGGACTATGTTGATATTCATCCAATAAAGATAATCATATGGAGTCATAATGTAACAATTTATAAACCAATAAAACATAGTGACAAAGACAATTCTTGAAATGTAAAACAACCACATTAACATCTACAATAATGGTAGTTACACTGCAAATATTTCTATCACACACTTCTGAAGAAAAGTGTAGGATTGATATACCAACTTAAAAGAGTTTGAAATTTTTTTAAAGATATATAGGAATCACTTATGTCAGTGACTTCATAATAAAACAATTTAGTGCGCATCAACGAATTGGAGAGAAACAGAAAGAGATGATATTAATCTAATTGGTTATAGGAAGGATATCAACACATATCAATAGATGTGGAGGAAAATCTACAGGATTCCTGGAGAATAAAAGGTATCACTATTGTAAATATTGCAATAAAGTAATGTGAATCACTTAGTGAGCTTTTTATACCTGTCATGTTTATATGGGATAAAAAAGACAAATTCAAACATTGTTTGATTATTTACAAGTGGTTTGTAAAATGTTGTCAATAGTAAAATAGAAAATACAAACAAACAAAAGTAAACAAAGCCCTATTTCAAAAAGAGGGAAGAGTTGTAAGAAGTTTAGATAAAACTCTGACACAAATAGATTTTACACATATCATACATTGCACACATATCATACAATGTACACATATCATACATTGTACACGTAACATACAATGTACACATATTATACATTGTACACATATCATACAATGTACACATACCATACATTCTACACATACCATACAATGTACACATATCATACATTGTACACATATCATACAATGTACACATATCATACAATGTACACATACCATACAATGTACACATATCATACAATGTACACATACCATACAATGTACACATATTATACAATGTACATATACCATACAATGTATACAAACGATGTACAAATACAATGTCTGTGCACATACAATGTCATTAAATATACAATGTACACATACCATAAAATGAACTCATACATTGTTAGTACATATACAATGTACACATACAATGTCACTTCACATACAATGTACACATACCATACAATCTACTCAAACAATATCACTAAACATACGATGTTCAATTACAAAATTTAAGAACCACTTCAATCATGTACATAAATTTACAAATCATTCAATGTTCTACAAATATTTCTCTTTCAATTGGATGTATTTTTTTTCAAAAAATTCTTTCTCTTGTTATCAATGTTTCTATAACACATGTATATTTCAAAGTTAATCAACTGTTTGTACATGTAAATTTTATGTGTATCTTAACAGAACATCCATGTATGAATACAAACACACAAACAAGTAATAAACAAAGTGTGATTGTCAACAAAGTTTCAACCCTGGGATTTCAACAGAAAGAAAAGAAGCTAAATGATAAATAAAAAGCATAGTGTCTATTTTTTTTTGATAATTCCCTAATCAACCTTTATATCTGCCTGGCCAATTGACAGGGTCAGAATCTTGATAAGTTTCTTCCAACAGAAGTTTTGCTAGTCCCACCTTCTTCTGGTTAAAGTATTATATCTTAATGCTATAATAATTACAAAATTCTTTCACAAACAAAATTTCTATTTTACAAAACTGTCAATTGATAAAAAAACATCTTGTTTACTGATATGTCATATGAATAAGGATGCAAATATGAGTGAGGGAAACTGGATAATCAGGTTAAAACTAATATTAGAGCAAGAAATGAACAACCACCTCTAATAATTTTTAATTACTTGCCAAGCTGACAATGAAAGTCCATTATGGCTTCTATCATTTTTCAATCTGTTTACTACCATCATTAAACAGCTATCTGTAGTATACAATGATACTTTTAACTACCATCATTAAACAGCTATTTGTAGTACACAATGATACATTTCACTGCCATCATTAAACAGCTATCTGTAGTATACAATGATCCTTTTAACTACCATCATTAAACAGTTATGTAGTATACAATGGCAAACATTTATTTTGAAATTGAATTCCAACATAGCTATTTAATAATATTCAGGAGAAAAGACAGCTATTGCTATTGAAGTAAAATAATAAAAAACAATTAGCAAAATAAAAAAGCACCAAATGATTAAAATATAATTAAAATTGCATTCTTATAGTAAATGGTTTCAAGTAAAAATGACTCACTGTTTTGATTTATTTCTTATAGATTTAGCTCAAAACTATAAGGACACATACATTTCCAAACAAGACAATAATATTGCTTTAAAAAGATAAGAACTCTCTATTGCAATACATCAATTTAGAATTTCCCAAAAGCTGACAAAACAAGCATGTAAACATTTCAGATGCAAGAAAATAAATACTGTCATCAACAAATTGGTTTTAACATTTACATCATAAATACAAGCATTTTCCAGCATTGGTTTTTTTGGAATTATTGCATTGACATGTATGATTCAGCAAGATATATTTTCTGATGAACCATCACAACCTATCTCATAAAACCACAAAATCAACACCATCAACATTAGTATTCATATCAATGTAAAAACAACACTCTGGGAAATTAAATAACTTACAGTATATTCATACCCATACACAAATGTGACAACTGTTATATGTGATGTTTACATCACATGAAATGTGGATGTCCATTAACATCAGCAGTAAATTCAGACTTCCATTGGCTCTGTAGCATCCTTTGGGTCAAAGGGCAAAGCCTCATTGTCACTTGTATCTTCTTCACCATCCATATCTCTGTCCTCTCTCTCTGAAGCTTCTCGCCTGGATAAAGTTACAAATGATGTAATAATAATTTGAATGCAGCATTAATATGACTTATTGGTGTTTTTTTATATTTAAAGCTTGAATGTAAAACTGATTATTAAAAATAACATCAATGAAATTAGTAACATTGTTACATGAAGTTTATGACAGTACGTAGTCACTTATGAAAACAGAGAAGAGTGGTATCATCAGAAATAAATAAAATAACAGATATTAAACAAACTGATGGTTGATTATATTTCAACTTCTGTTAAATGTTTAATTTTCTTATTGAAAATGAATTACATAAAGGAGACCATTTAGAAAAGAAAACAATGTTAACATCACGAATTTATTCTTTCTGACAAGTTAAAATCATGAAACCATGTCCCATCTACAGAGTTATCTCCCATTATCAAGAAATTAAAATATTGGTTACATACAAATCATCTGAATTGCCAATCGATGAGGAGTAAGACTGAGCGTGTGGAATGGTGACTGCCTGGAATGTTGACAAGAGGTGGTTACTGCGATCACTATAGGAACTGGCAGGAGCATATATTTCATGTTGTGGAGCTGGTTCATAATATCGTCCATTTGTAAAATAACCCATGGACAAGTCACTTCCCTGAAGATTGTGGTGTATATTGGTGGCACTCTTAGCTTTGCGGCTTTCTTTCTTGGTGGTTTTTGAGGATTTGGGTTCTGGATGGAAGGAACTGCGTGTGGCTGGGAGGGTATTGCTATGGTATTCTATCGGCACTGGAGTACTGCTATAGTAACCAGTGTCTGAATGACGAGAAGCGGTGGACGGCTGTTTGCTGTGGCCATTTGTGGCCTTCTGACGATGTATATGGGGAATCGCATACTGGTGGTATAGACTCTGACGCTGTTCTTCTGGTACCTCAATGTACGAAATCTTACTGGGTGGGGCCTCCTCTGAGGTGGGTGTGGTTTGTTCCTGTGGAAATTCAATCATCATACTGATTGTGAAATTTTTGCTTAACTCATTACTTGATCTTTGACAAGTTAAGTTTAAAAAAAAAACAAAAAAAAAACACATTCAATACTGATTCACCAGGATATTAAATGAGATGAGTGAATCATAACCCACTAAATATTGTTTATATATTTTATCATCAATACTTCATCCACAATATATATTATCTAACATTATGTGTAATTTTTGAATATTTTTTTTAAACCAGGAATTCATTACATTATACAGATAATGATTTCAAAATACTTCACCATTTAAGAGCAAATAAGTCAATACAGCTCACTTGCAAAGGAAATTCTCTGTTCTAAAACTTGTTTTCATCTTTGAACATTGCAGTTTTCTGCTAATGAAGGTCCATTAAAGAAAATGAAGTAATACACATCCACTAACCGGATTGTCAAGCTGATAATCCTCGAGAAGCTGATGAGCCCACTCAAACAATCCTAGAGCGTCAGCTGGAATGCTGGTCACTGGTTCTTTTTTATGGAGCAGTACCAGTACTCGACACAGCTGATGGATGACACCCCTGTAACAAATACTGACATACTTATACAATGACAAATACATGGATTTGTAATCATAACAATATCACATGATAGCAGGTTATCTGCAAAACCATGGACTGGTAACCATGTCTACAAAACACACTGCCAGGTAACCTACAGATACATGGACAGATAACCATGAACACACCACACACTGCCAGGTAACCTACAGATACATGGACTGATAACCATGAACACACCACACACTGCCAGGTTACCTACAGATACATGGACTGATAACAATGAACACACCACACACTGCCAGGTTACCTACAGATACATGGACTGATAACCATGACTACACCACACACTGCCAGGTTACCTACAGATACATGGACTGATAACCATGACTACACCACACACTGCCAGGTTACCTACAGATACATGGACTGATAACCATGAACACACCACACACTGCCAGGTTACCTATAGATACATGGACTGATAACCATGAATACACCACACACTGCCAAGTTACCTACAGATACATGGACAGATAACCATGACTACACCACACACTGCCAGGTTACCTACAGATACATGGACAGATAACCATGACTACACCACACACTGCCAGGTTACCTACAGATACATGGACTGATAACCATGACTACAAAACACACTGCCAGGTTACCTACAGATACATGGACAGATAACCATGACTACACCACACACTGCCAGTTTACCTACAGATACATGGACAGATAACCATGAATACACCACACACTGCCAGGTAACCTACAGATACATGAACTGATAACCATGACTACACCACACACTGCCAGGTTACCTACAGATACATGGACAGATAACCATGAATACACCACACACTGCCAGGTTACCTACAGATACATGGACTGATAACCATGACTACACCAAATGATGGCAGGTTACTTAGGCACTTGAATTGGTAACCATGACTACATCACACCATGCCAGGTTCCCTACAGATACATGAATCAGCGGTAGATAAAATAGCTTTAGTATACATTACCAATTTACTCACAATTATAAATAGGACTTTTCATACAATTGGTGACCCAGGTTTTAGAGACCAATTGGAATACTTCTTTGTTACTAAGGTTTTAGAGACACAATACTTATTTGTGTAATGCGGTCAGACTACCTACTTGTATGTAGGAACACGAGGATCTCCATTGTCCATGGCTCTAAGTTTACGTCGGATTTGGTTAAGGAGCATCAGCAGGACTTCAGCCTGTGGGAGCAGCTTCTCATACTCTGCCTTATACTGGTCACGGTCCACCACACTATTTAGTCGTGCCCGCAATATATCTACATCTGGCTCTGGAATTGAATGAGTTGCAATAATTTCAAGAAAGGATTTTTATAGATTTTGTACAATAAACTCTTTTTCCTTTTTAATTTACAATGTTTTGAAGTCACTGGTTCTATTTTAACAGGACACATGTCACTCTAATGACTACTTTATAAAACACCCATCATTTCATCCATGCATTAGAGGAAGTTAAATACTATGTGCAAGAGATGTGTAGTCCTCAACGGTCATCTGACAATCAAACATCCAGCAGATTTCACTTCTATAGAGAGAATAAGTTTGAAACAAAGAAATAAAAAAAAATAATCAGGACAAGACATGATTGAACATTTCTATAGCCTCAGGAGACAAACAAACCTCATCAATTTAAGAAATAAATGTCCTTCCACAATGTTTCAGTGAAAATTTGATTGAAATCCTCACTGTTTAAGAAGAGTTTTAAAGCAATATATAGTTAAATTACTTGCAGGCACCTCCCAACATCTCCAGAATTTGATTCAACCTTGTTTATTCATGAAACAATTATCCTCCCCTAATAATGTTTCCAGTCAAATTTGGCTGAAATCCACACAAGGCAAAAAAGGCACTAATGAGGAGTGATGTTTTAAAGCAAATTTTTCAGTTTTTTTCCCCTTAGAGCCTTGGGGCTTCAAGATCAAATCAAATTTCAGTTTTTAAAGAAATGATTGTCATCAATCAATGTCATTTCAGAATAACTTGTAGATAGAGAGTTTTAAACCAAAATTTTGGCTAATTTCCCTTTCAGTGGTTGAATCATTGCCCTACCCCATTGATTTTCAGACTATATTTAATTGAAATCCATACAAGCATTAAGAAAGAAAAAAGCTTAAAGCAAAATTTCAGCTTTACCCCTTTGTCTCTTGGTTAGAATATGTACAGGAATTGAGATAAAAACAATTTAAGGCCTAATTCAAAAATTTTCTCTATTCCTAGCAGGCTTTGCCCCCTCTACCCTTAAGGGTCACAATATGTAGTGCTACAATCATCAAAATTATGACTACCCAAAATATGTTTCAGGAAAAAATTTGCTGAAAGCGGTTCCAGGAGAAGAAATTTAAAATGACGATGAACAGAACTCACTATAGAGATTCCACAGGTATCAGACAAAGTATGAATCACAATTACTTATATTCTTTATATCACACTAATACTCACCATAACCTTTGTTATCATATGTAGGAATCTGAAAATGGATGCAGAGATAAAATATGAAGTTTAGAACCTTTTCTTTGACTTTAAATATTTTACTAGAGTTGATACATAAATGTTCACACATGATAAAAAATATATTTAAGCCAAACTGCATTATTTTTCCCTTCAGGATTTTATATCAAATAAATCGCAATGCAATTCTGACAGCAGTTAAATTGTGATTATTGTGGATAATTCATTGACACTAGGGGAATTACCCAGAGTTACAGGTGTGCAGAGTGTCAACTATTTTCTCAAGCTATAAATCAATCCAATCTGTATATAACCAGAAAATTGCAACAAAATCAATCTTAATCTTACATTCATTAAAAACCATCATGAGGCATGTTATCTAAGGATCTATCAACTGTCACACAGGATTTTATAAAAATTTCCAAGAAATAAAGTTGAAACTCACAGCTGTTAATTTTCCTAGTTGCATGTTTTCAGCCTTGTACTTCTGTTGTTGTAGATGAATTTTCTGCCTGAAATTGATAAAGCATAATATTTACTTATATACAAAATTTACTAGCATTTCACAAGGGACTAACCCTTGGCTGAACAATGGTGTTTTAAAACACTAGTTATAGGCCCAAGGCAAAATATAACCAAAATACATGAAGAACTCCAAAAATTTACAATATGTTATATAATAAAAACCGTCTTTTTTCATCTGTGTTTAATATCATTTTAATTACTTTTTTCAATGGCGAAAATCTGATATGTATCAAGTTAGATATTCAATTTTGTAATTATTTTGCGAAATCTATGTGTGACAAAATAAACTCTTTTACACTTATCACTATATTCCCTTAAGTGGTAGTACTATTTTTTGTCTAACCAGGGTACAATAAATCTATTAATGCCAGACCTACCTGTTCTTCCTTAGGTGGCAGTACACAATGATGCCCATGATAAGACAGATGATAATGGCAGCAGACACACCTGCCGCCACACCGATAATAATGTCAAGGTTACTGTCATCACTTTTCACCTCTAAAATTAACAAAAAATAAAAAGAATAACTATGGCCTGTTGATAATATAAATTAACTAAAGCTTAAATTAATCAAAGCTTTTCATCTCTCAGTAATGGCAGCAAAATTAAAAGATACCTGAAATGATTTACAAGAAGTTACTTAGATAATGGTATATCTTAACATCACTATCCAGTTCTTCAAGCAAAACGAGAGACAGATTTTGGGCAAAGAATACTCTGAAAATATATTTTATTGGTTTTTGCATTATCTTACTACTAAAGGTGTTCATCTGGGTACAAAAGCATGTATGTTTGGTACAAGAGAGTTTTACAAAATATGAATAATACAACTCATATACCAGACATTACACACATGTAAAGATAATCCACAATACAACTCATATACCAGACATGGCACACATGTAAAGATAATCCACAATACAACTCATATACCAGACATGGCACACATGTAAAGATAATCCACAATACAACTCATATACCAGACATGGCACACATGTAAAGATAATCCACAATACAACTCATAAAACATGGCACACATGTAAACATTACACACACACATGTAAAGATAATCCACAATACAACTCATATACCAGACATGGCACACATGTACACAGATAATCCACAATACAACTCACAATACACACATGTAAAGATAATCTCATATACCAGACATGACACACATGTAAAGATAATCCACAATACAACTCATATACCAGACATGGCACACATGTAAAGATAATCCACAATACAACTCATAAACCAGACATTACACACATGTAAAGATAATCCACAATACAACTCATATACCAGACATGGCACACATGTAAAGATATTCCACAATACAACTCATATACCAGACATGACACACATGTAAAGATAATCCACAATACAACTCATATACCAGACATGGCACACATGTAAAGATATTCCACAATACAAATAATACAACTCATATACCAGACATGGCACACATGTAAAGATAATCCACAATACAACTCATAAACCAGACATTACACACATGTAAAGATAATCCACAATACAACTCATATACCAGACATGGCACACATGTAAAGATAATCCACAATACAACTCATATACCAGACATGGCACACATGTAAAGATATTCCACACTACAACTCATATACCAGACATGGCACACATGTAAAGATATTCCACACTACAACTCATATACCAGACATGGCACACATGTAAAGATAATCCACAATACAACTCATATACCAGACATGGCACACATGTAAAGATATTCCACAATACAACTCATATACCAGACATGGCACACATGTAAAGATAATCCACAATACAACTCATATACCAGACATGGCACACATGTAAAGATAATGCACAATACAACTCATATACCAGACATGGCACACATGTAAAGATATTCCACAATACAAATAATACAACTCATATACCAGACATGGCACATGTGTAAAGATAATCCACAATACAACTCATATACCAGACATGGCACACATGTAAAGATATTCCACAATACAAATAATACAACTCATATACCAGACATGGCACACATGTAAAGATAATCCACAATACAACTCATATACCAGACATGGCACACATGTAAAGATAATCCACAATACAACTCATATACCAGACATGGCACACATGTAAAGATAATCCACAATCTGAAATAATCTGTATGTCCTTAACCTGGAATTACTCTGAAATGCTTATTTGCAATGAAGTCCTTAATACATGCACATAATATATTTAAGTTGATGACAATTATCACAACAATTTTTTTAATAAAATTACAGGGATTTCAGGCAACTTGTACAGAATGAAACACTAAAACAGAATCATTGGAATATGCATCTATAAGTCTCATCAGAATATTTACATTACTTCTCATAAAATTATTGTCTTGACTTTGGAGTGTACTGATGTATCACACTTGAAATCCTGTCAGTAAACATATGTACTAACACACAGACGTGATACAGGAAGGTAATTATCCTGTAAGTACCTGAGGCTATGTAAGTGTAGCTACCTGGGGTAGGATCACCACAGTCTAGGATATGACATTGACAAACACAGTACTGAACCTAATAACCTCAGGTACTACACCTGGTCACACATCACTAGCCATCAATGAATCATATACCACAGGTAAATCGAGGTATGTAAAGTTATCAAGGTATTACAGATGTCTGTACATAATGTGATTCTCTATAAACTAATCAGTAATTTCTTTCTTACATTACAGATAACAATATTTTATTTGAGTCTCACCTTTCATATTAAAATATTTACAAGCACAATAAAACATAACATCTAGAATTATGATAAAAGGCATCCTTTAAAGTGTTCTGAGAGACTTTTTGGTACATGACAGCTACACCAAGCCAATTCATCATTGTATTGAAAAAAAAAACCTGAAAGTGAAGTGAATTGACAGCATTCACCACATGTATCACCTATGAGATTCTACTGATACCTACCTGTACATACACTTCCCTGAAGGTCTCCTCGCAGTAGTATCTTAGCCTCACCATTACACTTCAACAAACACTCGCGACTTTGCTCTGATAAGAAATTTGTACATCTGAAAAAAAACACAAAAATATAAGAACAATTTTTATGTTGATGTGGGTTAACAGTTTTATTGGAGAAAACTGGTCTTAATTAAAGTTGATTCTATGGTAAATAATTTACATGTATCCCAAAATTTCAAACAAAAGATAATTACCTTTGGCATTTGTTTTCGGCATTACACTCTAAACAGTCCTCTCCAGTACAAATAGCTGAAACCGAAACAATAATGCTAAAAGACATCTTCATAATCAGATGTCTGAGACACAATATTCAAGACTCCACAATCTATCTAACCTGGTTTGATTCAAGCTAGTAATGAATGGTAGTCACACCCTCCCATTCCTATTACACACACACTATATATATACCTGTATCATTATCAAGTGTATTTCACTTGCCATAGCCATAATAAAAAAAAAAAACAAACAAAATGTAACATGCATTGCATTATATCATAATTCTTTCATACCCAATCACAGCCACATTTCATAGATATATTTTGTTTCCCTGACATGTGTAAAAAATGATCACAAAGTTGAATATCACCTGCTTTGCAATCTCTGTGGTTGGAATGAAGGTTGTACCCTGCTGGACACTCGCATGTGCTGTTCCTGCAATCGGCTTTCCAACCACATTGAGATGGACATAATGCTGAACAAAAAATAGCAAAATACATGTATAAATTTATGCTAATATTATATTGATGAAAAAAATATGGTAGATTATATTTTTTATATACTGTTAATGTTATTTTTACTTTTAAATGTATGATACACAATCTCACAAAATAAAATAAACCAAAGGCAGTTTTGTATTTTTTTATATATATATATATATATATATATATTATTGAGTTAATACCTATACTTACCATTAGATTGGTGTATATTGTAAATCAGTACAAGGAGAAAAAACATCAACAAGGAAGCAGATGCCTTCATTTTATTTCCTGACTTCTACACCCTGACAATCCTCACAACAGCCATACTTTATGTCATGGCGTGGCTACAAAGACAATGTGGTAATCAGTGAAATTAGAGCCATTTTTCAAGCCGGTATTCTGTACCCTAAAATTGTTCAATTCAGAATAGGAAGTACCTGGTATGTTAATTTAATTCAATTCAGACAATGGATGTACAAGATAAATTGTTTATGTGATAGATAATATTATGCCAGTTCAACTTGTCAAATTCGAGATTTCATTTTTTATTATCAACTCTGTTCCCCATTTCCTTCTTCGTTTTGTTTTTTGTACCAAGGATATTCACCAAATATGAAACGAGAGCAATGGACAGTCTGTTTTTCACTTTTACTTGGAGCATGCATGGCGCACCACAAAGCGATTGGACAGTGCTGTAAAAGTCACGAAGACATAGTCACGATGTCTATAGTGAGTAACAATAACAAGAGAATTACGTCCAATTTGATTTGTTTTGTAGATTTGATAGCTTGATAATACAATACTGCTCATTCAGGATACTACATGTACTGCTGGTCAACAGATTTGGCATAATCAGATCTAGATCATCACTTGGGATCTGTGATGATTGTTGATAGCGTTTGCGGTGCGAATCGTATCATCCCGCGTTTAACGACACAAGAAACAATCATTTTATGTGAACAAACCTAAGTTATATTACACTGATTGTTTTTGTCCGAAAAACTAATAAACAGATAAAGAGAGAAATACACTACATACCCCATCTCAGTTGTTGTCAGTAAATGAGAACTCTTTTACGCCTGAGGTAAACAGCTGTTCGGTTTACCACCCCTTTAAGTTATGACAGTGAGGTATACTTAGACAACCTATTGTCGTATTTCAGAGTATTATCAAAGCTATAAATGTCGAGAGAAATTATATTTACACTTTACAGTAGACAAACAACAGAATAGTATTGCATGACAATCAATATATAACATGTGATCAAATAAAAAGTACAAAGTCATACGGCTGTTCTGATTACCTCCACTGTATCTAACTAAACAGGAAGCTGCGGCCATTTTGAGAATTTATCATTTCCTGCTTTTCTTCGGAATTACGGAAGAGGTAAAAAGCGTAAAAATATCTAGTTTTGTGACGATTTTAGTCACTGTAATTAGAGTCTTTGCTTATAGGCCCACACTGTACCAGTCACCAGTTGAAATGATTAGATATTGTTAAATCTATACATAATTTTAGTTATTTTATGTGACACTTCTTACAAAATTATATCGTGATGTCATGACTTTCTATTCGCTCAATGTTAATTGACGGACACGTTAAAAAGACCGTTCTTACACATAGTATTCTTTACTAACACACAACTTCTTTATCTTTGGATGTGGACGCTGGGAGACTGAGAAGTGGTAATCATACCGTATTGATTTATTGTTATTTATAATGCTAAAACATAAAGGTTTTTTGCGTGAACGATTACACAATAGCTATTGTGTTGAGACAGGTTGCCAGACTGGTTCTCTTTATGTATATATCTGAGGTTATAAACATTCCACGTGTTAACACTATGTGTGTTTCTGTGAGAACCTCTTCAAATTTCTATTGAAGTAAGTCAAATCCATATGTTAACTTGAAAACCGGATTTTATGTTAAACCCAGTTATTTCCCAATCATAATATCAGATAAATGTCTATAACAATGAAAAGTCATCACATGAATCACAAGGCATACATATATAGATGGCAAAATGACAAACACAGATCTTACAAAATTCACAAACTAGATTGTTTATTGTAGCTATAGAATAAAAAAATTATAATACACAATAGCATTACTCCAGGCAGTTTTTTAACCAATGGGTTAAGTACCCTTACTTTTTGATCTGAAGAGTAGAATATGATTTCATTCATGCTGTGTGAATATGTTTTATTTTTAACATGAGATATACAACCATTAGTTTAGTGAATATGTGCTTTAGTGTTGAAAGCAATGAAATGTATATAAAGCCACAGTAATCTTTGTAGAATTATTTTCTGGTGAGTGAGTCCCACAAGGAAAGCAGGAGTGCAGGACTCCGATTATTGAGTCCAAAAAATTACTACAGCACAGAAGGGTTTACTGTTTTCTGTGATGTCATGGTGATTACTGATTTCAAAAAGAGATAAAATCAGAATCATTTTAATAATTACATATCTAGAGTGGGGAAAATCCTTGATATTAAGTATTCTGGCATCTATAGTTATACAAAGGTAGAAAGGGTGTTAAGTAAACTATGTCAAATATGCATGGTTAAATGGAAATGTGATTCCCTAATGGGTACACATAATTCTTTTATTTTCAATACATATATCATCAATTAGTAGGGTAAAATACCCTAATGTGCAGCTTACCTGTAATAATTATCTGGAACTTCAAGCCTATTTATATAACGGATATTGATTACTTATTAATGTAATACTTATATAATACAGATGAATTCATTGTTTGATTTTCTGTTTTTGCTTTGTAGATTTGTGTACATTTTTGAGTGTTTGCAACAAGTAAGTGAAGCATTGGGTTCAAGGCATGCAGATTTACTCTCGATAAAGATTAATAGCTGCTACTGACTACAAAACAAAAAATATAAGGACAGTCTGCAATTTGACTGCTTTCACATAAAAATCATCATGTCTAACATGCCACCAATTCGCCGGACAATTAAAAATGTTGTCCGGAATTACTCTGAAGCTCAAGTTAAAGTGCGTGAAGCAACTTCAAATGATCCATGGGGTCCATCTAGTACACTGATGGGAGAGATTGCAGACTTAACATACAATGTTGTTGCATTTACTGAAGTCATGCAGATGATCTGGAAGAGATTGAATGATCATGGTAAAAACTGGCGCCATGTGTATAAAGCCTTGGTATTACTGGATTACATAATTAAGACTGGCAGTGAAAAGGTTGCTCAGCAATGTAAGGAAAATATATATGCTATTCAAACACTGAAAGATTTTCAACACAAGGAGGATAATAGAGATCAAGGCATGAATGTGCGAGAAAAGGCAAAACAGCTTGTGGCTCTGTTGAAGGATGATGAGAGACTAAGAAATGAAAGAGCAAAAGCACTCAAGGCAAAAGAAAGATTTGCACAAAGTGCCATGGGAATAGGAAGTGACAATAAGGTATATAGCTGAAATCAAAAAGTTGATTTTATTTACATGATGATGAAAAGAAAAGGATAAAATTTAAATATCTTAATTCTTCATTTTTATTACATAAAAATCCAAAGAACAAAAAAACTCATGCAAAAGGTTAACTGCAATGAGACTCGTTAAGCTGACATTAAAATATTGTTAAAAAAATTAATTGATTGATAAACCATAGTAAAATAACTTAGTTATGTATATCATATTAAAATAACCCTCTATACTGTTTTCACTTCTTCGGACAAAATGAAAAGTACATGTAATTCTCACATAGGACTATTCACAATGCCAGAGTTAAGATTGGCATGAAAATATTTAACATTAATGAAAATAACTTTTATACAGATGTGCTTATGGTAGTAAAATGTATTCATAATTACTATACTCTTAAAAGTTTTTTAAAAATGCAGTGTTTGATTGCTTTGTGGTACAGCTGTAGTAATGTTAAAAACTTTATAATGTAGATGATAAGATGGCATCTCCACAAAACTTCTTTAGCATACCAGTATCTCATTCTCTACAGGTAGTGATATCAGCATTTAGTAAAAATTTCCTTGTTGTAGATAAAGTATGGTGCTGGGAGTCCAAGCCTTGAGACCAGCTCTGGAGGGTATGCTGATCCATATGGAGGTGCTACAGGCGATGCACTTAGTGGTGGAGGCAGTGAAACTTGTATGTCTAGACAATAGCTATATTTAGAGTACTATATAAAGATTTACTATCCAGTGATTGATACTTGGCACCGTTATTGTTTGTAGTCCTATGTACATATATATCCACATATTGTTCAAATGCATATAATTAGCATAGAACAGTTGGTTTTGGTTTATTCAGATGTATTAAGTATACTTCAGTCAGAGTGTAACAAAAAAATTGTATGCCTATACAGAAATTGATAGTTACTTGGAATTGGAATTATAACTTCTTGTTATTTGGTGTTTTAACTCTCTGAATTGTACTTATAGTATTTGTATGACCTATGTATCTATTCATTACAGCATCTCCTACAGAGGGTGGCGGGAGACGTTTGTCTACAGATGTTGAGTATGCACGGCCTTCCTCTGTTGGGGAGGAGGAGATTCAGCTACAACTTGCTCTGGCCATGAGCAAAGAAGAACATGATGAAAATGTCCGCAAACAAAAGTCAGATGATATCAAACTTCAAATGGCCATAGACGAGAGTAGGAAACAAGCTGTGGAAGAAGTAGGTTAAATAAAATTGATGATTTTACACTACAGTATAACTTTGGGATCTTAATCTTATACCGTTATTCTTGTTACCTATTTTCTGTGAGATAGTTCTTGTCAGTGAACTTATCTACAGAGGTAGCCGACGACTGTATTAGAAGTACGGATAAAAAAAGTGGGTTCACAAAGTTAACTCATTTTGCTGCTTGTTTAAATATTTATTTATACATTAGTGTGGCCAAGCCTGTCACAAAATAAAATTTTGATTTCAGAATTTAAACAATTTCGTAGTAACATTACAAACTATTAAACCTTTCACAAGAAGAACATGCTTCAGTAGTGTGTGTCATTCCAGTTTCTTTGGTTACTACATTTGAACCTGACATTCTTGGGTCACCTTTGAAAGTATAATAATGTCATTTTTCACTTGTAACACTTTTCATTACCACAGTTAATTGTCCAGGTGGTATGATGTTATGAATGAATTTGATATATATTCAATTAAGTTGCTTTTTCTCTCAAAACTTAAATGAAAAGCTATCCAGTAAATACAGTATCAGCCTACAGTTTTTAATGACATCTGTCGAGTTTGTTTAGAATTAATATTGAGTAAGTTTGTAGAACTTGTAGTCCTTGGTAATCAGCTATTAAGGTGGTGGTCACAATAAGTTTGCTACAGTACAATCAACTAGCGCACAATTTTCATTCTCACTCACACTGGAAATTGGACTTTCAAATTTGCATGTTTTAATGATTAAGTTCAATTCATTCAGACTTTCTGATGATGTTATACATTTCTTTACAGAAAAAAATCCTACCTCTCAATTTCAGTTTTTAACCTTTTCTGCACATTTAGAAATTTCTTGAAACACATGTACAAATTTTTTCTTTTATCATTTGTCAATAAGTATTTGTGGAGTTTGCTTTAATTTTTTCTTGTTGGGATTTTCTTTTGCTTTTTTCCATGTTCCTTTAGGAAAGGAAGAAGGAGACAAGTAAAAAGGTTAACTCAAAATTTTAGTTCTACTTTCTGTTTATCATGTTTTATTGTCATTGAAACAAAGCTCTCCATCATTGCACTATTTCTATCCATGGTTTGTAATATTTAGTGACTTTCCCTTGTGTATGTTTTATTTTTGTTTTGCTGGAATGCCTTAAGCTGTTGTATATGCTTGTTACATAAACAATATTTTTCATCATCTAGATATTAACTTAAAAGTTTCCCTAACTCCTTATAGACAATATAGTACACATATTGCATTTAAGAATGAAACTTATGAAATCTTAATCATGTGATGTTTACATATTAATAACTTAGATTTAGATATATATATGTACAATTACACATTGTATTTTCTTGTGTAAAGTTTTTAAGAGGTTTTTATATGATTTATTAGGCAATGGTTTATATTTGAAAGCAGTGAAGACTTTAAATTAGCATTCTGATAAATGAATGTTGAGGTTCTGTCCTGCTTATCCTTCCAGCCGCATGCTTTTGCACTGCAAGATGGTTGTCTCCTTTCCCTCATCAAACATACAATTGTTTGTGCTTGTATGTCCTGTGATGTCCTTAAAGGGTATCATGTTAACCATTGTATTGAGTTATCTGAGTCAATTTGACCACTGAAAATGCACTTTCCACACTGTTTACATACTATATTACAATCTGAGACCAATGAATATGATACCCGAGGCACAATTGCTGCAATAGATGTTGTTTGTGTTTTTTCCCTGAAATATAAAAAAGTTTACTTCCATAAAACATTTAACTCATATATCATCTTACCCACTTTACAGAAGTTCAGAGTAAATACATTTTTCCAGCATGAAATCATTTGGCAAAATATATTTTTTTTTTTTTTGCATTTTGCTGAAGGATTACAAAAGTAAAAAAGTGGGTAAGACTATAATAAACCTTGTGATTAAATACACATGTTAATTTTCAAAGACATTATGCTTAAGCTTAGGCACTTAAGGATACTTAAAATAGATATTGTTTTCTGCACCCACAAACCAGATGATTTTGATAAAAATTCAAACATTTTTTTCCTTGCATTCATATCTCTCTTGCCTTTCTTGTAAAATTAGTCCCATTTACAAAGCCCTTTATGTATCTTTAATGAAGCACCTTGATTTGAGAAGGCTTGTGACCGTTCATAATACTCTCGTTGACAATTATCAAATGAACTTAATCTAATGAATGAATTATGACTTTTTGTAATTGAGCACCTACATGCCCCCACCCCCATCCCTGAGATTGAAATTGTATTATTATTTAAATGTTTGTTTGAAATACTTAAATGTATGCAATATTTCAGGTGTATTTATGTTTATTATTTTATCATCAGATAAGTTTTTTTATTCTTTACAGAAATATTTGTGTTCTTAAGTTAGTTTGGCTTTACTAAGATCCTTTTTTTTATTAAACAATGTGAATAAGAAATATTACCAATACAACTGACGAAATCTTTATTTTACTTGTAATTTCTAATTGATAATGCTTATTTCTTTTAACTCATAAATTTATGTTTTGGTATTTCTACACATACAAAATTCTCACAATCTAATCTGTATCTTGGTTTTATTTTTAGGTTGATCAACCGAAGCAGGTGAAGGCTCAACCGGCAGATCCCTGGGGAGTTCCTGCTCAACCAGCACCAACGGACCCTTGGGGAAGCCCATTACCAGGACCACCAGGCCAGTCCCCCAGGACACAGCCACCACCACCCACTTCAGCTGCAGCTGATCCCTGGGGATCGCCTGCCAAAGTTCCAGCTCCTACAAGTAACACTGATCCTTGGGGAGCTCCAGTGAATGTCAGTCCTGTGCCACCCCCATATCCCACAGGTACAGTTAGCCTGCCTTTTAACGCTTGACATTGTTGTTATCGTTGTTGGAGTCAGCCTACCCAATTAGACTTTGTGGTTATTTGTCAATGTTATAGGTCAAAGGTCACCTTTGACCACTTTTGAAATAAAAATCTTGTGTACTATAGATCTCATTAAGTTGAACCTCTTATGACAATAGACCCTTATAGTTTTTGATCAAAAAAGAAAGACGAGGGTGTGTGTCTTTGTGTGCCCATGCTCATTTGTTTTTATTTTGTAAAATGGCCAATGTTCTTGGAATAATTATCTTAAATTTTCAATTATACATGGATGTATCATAATTTAAGTATATTGTTTAGGTTGTATTACTGTGTGTTTTTTGATAGCTTATCTCACAAACTGATTTGATATTATGAATGATTTGATCCAAGTACTGTACATCAGAATTTAGAATGTGTTTTTTCAACATGCTTACAGCTACCAGCACTGATCCTTGGGGAACATCAAGTGGTACATCCAATCAGAGTTCTCCATGGGGATCCCCAGCTCCTCCACAGCAAGCTGTGGCAGACACACCATTTGATTCCAACTTTACAGCATCTGGAGGTCCATCACAAGTCACAAATGGATCAGGTGTGGATGATGGATTTGATCTTATTGGCACCAGAAGTACAGGAAGTTCTCCAGCTAAAACTAATAGAGAGTTAGAGGCATTTGATCCTTTAGGAGGTAATGAGATACTTTTTGGAACAAATTTTACATAAATTTATCACTGCTATCCTACACAAAACCCTGTGGGTCAACAAAGAATATTTGACAAAAATACTAAGCAATTTGTAATACATAGATGAGCTAATTACCAGACATAAAGATGGAATGCTTTTTTTTGTTGTTTGATTTTCAGCTGTTAAAGCTTCATCTCTGCTGATAAAACCTCATCTCAGCTTATAGATCTACATCTCAGCTAATAGGTCTACATCTCAGCTGCCAGATCTACATCTCAGCTGATAGATCTACATCTCAGCTGCCAGATCTACATCTCAGCTAATAGATCTACATCACAGCTGATAGATCTACATCTCAGCTAATAGGTCTAAATCTCAGCTGATAGATCTACATCTCAGCTCAGATTTGGAAATTACTGGGTATGCTGTCATATTTTCTCTATTGAAATTTCTAAAGTGAAAATAGGAAGTTCTTTTTTTCAGCACTATAGATTTAACAGTATGCCAGATGAAGACTTCTGTTGGGCCCTTTTCTCAAACCATGTAAGTGTGTTGTGAATTGATCTGTTTTACTACTATTCCTACAGAACCAAAGAAGGAGGATACATGGAACATGGGTGGCATGAGTGATGGACTGACCAATGTCCAGCAACAACAACAAAAACACAGAAAGACTCCACAGGAGTTCTTAGGGGACAATGCCAGCCTAGTTAATCTGGACCAGCTTGTTGCTACAGAAAACACTCAAGGTACTCACTTAATACTCCGATTGTATTGTGTAATGGCAAAAAATTTCTTTAAATATAGGGATTTGGACATTAAACTTTCTGACTTGGAAAACAGTCTATCAATAGCTGTTAAACTAGCAGAAAATAGCCATATAGGAGAACGCATTTCACAGATATAATGTACTTAATAATAACTTAACTTGGGTTAAAAATGTTTCATCAAATAGTTGTAAAATGTTCATGGTAGACCGGATACTTAAAAGTACATTAATTCATTTTGTGGTTGTCTCGTTGCTGAAGTGCTTATGGACCCAAATTGGTTGATTATGTGGGTTTAGAATATAAGGACAAATTTCACCTAAGTGTGGCGTATCCCTAAAAGTTGGACAGTAGCTTCTAAAACTGTAGAATAGGAAGGTCTTACTGGTTTAGTCATAGTGAAGGAATTATCAAGGTGCGCACTAGATAAACAGAGTTGCGGTGAAGTTTTGTGACAAGTACACTTGTGCTTCTGGATTTGTCCCATGTTGCAGTCTTTTTGTAGGATTGCTGGGCATGTTTAAGGGTTGGCCAAAGAAGTAGGATTTCCAATAGTAACCATGTATAAATGTTCACAAATAAGCTACATAAGCTACAAGGATTTGCTTTGTGATCTAACAATGCAACTTGTGACTCGAAATCTGAAACAAATCATGAAAATGCTTGAGAGCCCAAACCCAGTACAACATATTTTCCAAGTTGACCCTGTGGTTTGCCCTCGCCGAAGCGAACTTTATTCCATGGTTGAAATTAAGAAACCAATACCTTTTTGTATAATTATTTTCTCAGTATGAAACAGTGGCATTCTATTCACATTTGGTACTGTTAATGTAAATATTTCAGCAGTAATAATAGAAGTGCTTTTCATGCTGAAAGCATTTCACTAAATGATCATTGCCTAATTGCAATTTCTATATGCTGGTTATAGTGTTGTTTTGGATTGTCAAATTGATCATTGTGCTAAAGTACATCAATTTTACACAAGAGGATTCTAACCGTGTGTAATGAATTCATGCTTGGGCATGACTTTGCATAACTTTATATATCTTCATGAGGTTATTGTGATTTCTTAATTTCCAAATGAATGGTCAAGCCATCTTATGCTTATTTAACATATATGCTGTAGTATCTAGAGTATTTGAAATATGTTTTCTTATTGTATTTCAGCTAAAAACCCATTTGCTGCTAAAACTACCAATCCTTTTGAACTTCAACAGCAGCAACAACAACAGATGACAAGAATGACACTAAATCAGATTCAGACTAATACATACAACTCCGGATTCTCACAGCCAAGCTCTTCAAGCTTACTACCAAACCCTCTTGTTCCACTCAATAATGGCTCTATGCAATCGCAGAACCCCTTCTTATGAAAATGTGATACATTAAGATTAATATATTGATAAACTTGTAATTATTATAAATATATATATACATGATTGAGTTGTCTGTATATTGTCGTATCCCATACCACATGGAGTACACCACGATGTGATGAATCAGACGCCACATCTTTACCTGTAAATTAGATAAGGAATATGTTTCATGCTTTTTGTGATGAATTGTGGAATGAAGGTGATATTTGCCCAGCCTGTTTTGAAACGGAAATGTGTTTTTCTTGTTTTATTGGAGGTGAACCGGAATTTCCACCCATGAAAATTAGCTAAAGACATGATTTTAATCATGTGTTAAAATGGATCAAGTTACTCATTGCAAACATATTTCTTCTTTAAAAAAACGTCAGCTTTGAGAAGAAAGACATATGTGTGTGGCATACTCTATTGTGTATTTCTGTAAGGATGGTTTCATTTGTGATCAAGATTAATATGGTGTTGAGGAATAACCTTTTGAAGTGCTATGTAAAAACAAGAATAATAGACTTATCAGACTTACAAGGTATTTATTTATTTGTTATTTTCTGTTTGTGTGTTGTAGTTTGTGCTCATATATTTGACAATGTACACCATCATCTGATTATGTGAACTGTAATTGAAAGTGTAACACAGGTAAGATAGATTTGGTATGTGATCAAGCTAGAGAGCCGTATTTGAAGACCAATCTAGTCCATATGTCCACACAAAAATGAGAGCAAGCGTATTTCATGATAACATTTTGGTATATTTTACCTCATTAGTTGGAGCCAGTAACATTTGTTGAGAATAAAAATTTAAATTGGAACAAAAGTATTTCAGGGTATCCTATAATGATTTTTTTTCATGACCTGGTAATGTATTCCATTTCAACATAGTCAAGTCCTGTCACTGTATATAATGTGACGCATCATGTTGCGTTGACAATTTACTCTGTAATATTAGTAAAAGATTCACAGTACGTAATTTGTATCATTTTGATACTGTATGGGCACTGGTCTACAGGTAAGTGGTATGACACATCTTTCAATTACTAAATACTAATGATCATCATATTTGTGTAAGTTTAGTTAAATTTTAGAGCTCAATGTACAAAACAGGCTGGGCCAAATTAAACAAATAAGGAGAGACTTTCAGAAAATCTAATGATGATATTCAATCTGTTATATAGATGTAGTATAACCAGAAGTGTAAACTGCTTAAATGGTTGGTTGTATTTTTTTTTTCTTGAACTCTGTATACATATAATATTCATAGGTGTATTTATAACATACTGTGTCGTTTCATTTAATTTGTCATATGAATGTATATTGTTGACTGGTCATGGTAAATGTGTGAATTGACTTATTACATTGGAATTTAATGTGAGTATATGTTTGCTTACTTTCAAATTGGAATCAACCACTTCCTGTCTACAAGTATGTATGCCAGGACTCGTTTTCTGTAGATTACATGAGTAAATTCATATCTGAAGAGTTTTTCGGAATTAAAAGGAAAAACTTAGTTCCTAAGTATACTATAATTATCAAGCTATAAGCCTATGTCTGGTAATAAGTCCACCCATATCTATCGCTGTACAAGAAAAGTACAAACCAATACTATTTCACTGTCCTGTAATAAGCCCATGTCTGGTAATAAGCCCACCCATATCTGTTGCTGTACAAGAAAAGTACAAACCAATACTACTTCACTGTCCTGTAATAAGCCCATGTCTGGTAATAAGCCCACCCATATCTATTGCTGTACAAGAAAAATACAAACCAATACTATTTCATTGTCCTGTAATAAGCCCATGTCTGGAAATAAGCCCACCCATATCTATTGCTGTACAAGAAAATTATAAACCAATACTATTTCACTGTCCTCTAATAAGCCCATTCCCTGACTTTGATATGTTGTATCAAGGACTTATTGTAGGATAAATATGGTGGTATTTTGTAAAGTTCTTAAGACCTAAATGATTAGATTCTGAATTATTTGTGTGATGCACTCTTCAGTCCTGTCAGTTAAGGAATGAGCTGTATTGAGATGAATTGTGGTTGTGCTTGAAAAGTGATGATAAATTATGACTGAAAATTATGTTAACCTTCGGAATTAAGTACTAGTGGTTTTGGAGGGGATGGGGAGGGGGCAGTGTTGGAATTGTAGGGTATCAAACTCTGTTCTCGTTTACAACCGTTGACTGTATGTAATACTATACAGTAATGTAATACTTGTAGTTGCCGACTGTGATTCTATAGTGTATTATGTCTTTGGGACACTTCCACAAAATAAGCGAGGGAAAACAAGTCACATGATGAAGATATTCAGAGCTGATCAAAAAAGTCTGTTTTTTATTTAGATATTCAGAACAGATATACATGTATATTAATAGAATGATGTGATGTTCATGATGACTGTAATTGACTTTGGTCTGAAGATTGATTAATGAACTGTTTCTTGTTGTGCCAAATGCTTTTTGACTTTTTAAGTCTTGCATGGATATGACCAAATATCCGAGATATAAGTCAACTGTTTGGAAAACTTTGTGTTTGATTTGAAAAGGTGTTGGAATCATATAGGCGAAGTTATGCTTACTTAGAGATATACTCTTTTCAGAGTGTAAAGTGAAAGGAGCGGACATAAGTTTTTTCCAGTCTGTTTGTGGAGCAGTTTTCTGAAATAGTATTTCATGTACTTCTCTCTTTTTTCAAACAATTACAAAATTCCTGCTTCTAAATAAGTTCCGTCCTCTCTGATGCAAATGAGCATGAATGGTCCAGAGTTTTTAGCATTTTTTAGAAAATTAAAAAAAAAATTAATCCAACTGTAAATGTGCCATTGATATCCCTTTTCATCTTAGTCGATTCAGTAATGTGACTGTGTGTGCTCTATAGATATTTTGTTATAGTTTTATATGTTCCCCCCCCCTTGAATTTGTTTTGTGGGAAAATTACCATATTTCTTGTATGTTCATCTTAGGTGAAGATCACTTTAATTAAAAGATGCAACCAAACTTTTCAAACAAAAATCTGATTATCTTTTAATTAGATTTAAAATGAATTTGTGCTATGTGTTGTGTACCCTACATGTAACAAAGGGATATATATGATAACATGGTCGGTAGTATTTATATAGATCTGATGATTTTCACTGACAGCTGGTGTTGCACGGTAAACGTTTTAAGATCTGATAGTAATTTCATTGTTATACTTTGTTGTTTGAGGTCTTATCTTGTCACATCAACTTAATCTTAACCTGTTGTATTTTTTTGTTAAGACATCACTGTAACAAGCAGTTTTCATTTTAGTTGGCCAATGCAATTCACAGTAAATGATCAAACAGTTCACAGAGCTATCACAATCTATCCATTAATATATTACCAATGTACTTGTTTAGTTAAGAAGATGCCTCAATAATGTCTTTGATATGATCATGAAATATGATTTGTCCCGGTTAAGAAAATGGAAATTGTCACAGCAAGGTGTTACCTTGCTGTTTGGAAATTTTCAGCAGAGTTCTCTACTATTAATGTGTATGGACGTGGAGATCTTGTTTGAGAATCTGTACTCCTGTGTTTAGGGGTGAATTTAGATAAACCATGTGACCGACAGAATTAACTGTTGAGGTCAGGTTAAAAACTCTTACAGAATTGGCTCACACAGATTAACATTTTCAGCCCTGTACTAGATCACAATGTGTTTTACCCTACAATTGTACATGTATTTTTTTGATGATGTATTTTTCATGTGTTAATGTTTGCAATAATAGGTCTGTACACGGCCGTAAAACCTGTCTTAACTGGCACCTGTCCATTCTGATTGGTTTCAGTGTGATGCAACATCCACCTGTGTGATACCACACCCTAGTGAATTCCTTGAATCCTATTTGTCAGATGAGACAGGTTTTTAACAATTTACCTCTAATATTAATTTGTCATGTTTTATACGTATAGGTCATGTCCTTGTAACTTGGTAATAGTGATTTCTTTGTCGTTATCTCACATCTGTATTATATACTTCATACCACAGTCTATACATGCTGTATAGCCTGTGAGAACATTCATATTATAATTAAATCATTCAAACATTAAGTATGGAATTAAAAATCTCAAGTTATACCTGTAGCTATTGCTGTTATCACTGTTCAATTGAATAGCTAAATGTAGTCTGTAAATCTTCCTTTAACCAGCCCTTGTCTGTTTCCAGTATTACTCTAGAACACTAGTAACTTTATCATAAATGATGCTCCTACAGAAAATGTCACTGTCCGTCTATTTGTTTTAACTCAAGAACCAATCCTGGACAATATTCCTTGTTCCAGACAGACGTTGGTTTTTACACTGAAAGTATTTTGGAAAAGAAAATCTCTCTACTGAGTGTTGCTTTGAAAATAATGCCTTAGGTCTAGTGAGATATATTTTATAACTATGAAATTTGATTTGCAAACTTGCAATGTTATCAGATATGACTTGATAATTAGTCATTAAATATCTATGAAAACAGTCGGATTGTTGGTTGTTGTGTGTTGTTGGAGGTAATGTGATGCTCCAATATGTTGCTGTATGTTTTTATTCAGAGCCAAGGTCTTCATTGCAAGATTTTCAACAATTTTCTTTAATACCTTTTGATCCTGACTATTTATTGATCAAGTTTAACTGCTGCAGAAGAATCAATTAGAATATGACTTATTCACTTTGCATTATACCTAGGTTCATGGACAACACATCATACAGCTTGGCATAAGCTTTGGTTCATGGACAACACATACAGCTTGGCATAAGCCTAGGTTCATGGACAACACATCATACAGCTTGGCATAAGCTTTGGTTCATGGACAACACATACAGCTTGGCATAAGCCTAGGTTCATGGACAACACATCATACAGCTTGGCATAAGCTTTGGTTCATGGACAACACATACAGCTTGGCATAAGCCTAGGTTCATGGACAACACATCATACAGCTTGGTAGAAAGCTGTCCCTGTTTGTTCCCATATAGGGAAATATCTAGGTAAGAGGAATTTTGGAGTTTGGGAATTAGTGTCAAGTGTGCAGCTGTTACAAATGGCCAGCAAGTGGCCATCTTGGATTTTGACTTTGAAAGTTTATTATCGCTATCTTTTGAGAAATACTTTATAAATCTTTCTCAAATTTTATGTATTGGTTCCTTTTGGTCTCTAGTTATAGCTGTTTGTTTTTTGGACTGATCGAAAAAAAAATAAAATGAGCTGACAGGCAGCCATTTTGGATTTCGCCTAGTAAAGATTGTTATCCCTATTTCTTCAGAACTACTGAACTACTGTTACTTGGACATAAAATTAATTGTATGTTTCAAGAGAATAAGTTGTGTATGTGTTTTGTTTACTTGCTATGTGCACAGTGTGACCTGTTGTTGCACATAGGGTGCAACTAAGTGAAAATATGATGGTTCTGAAAATCTTTTAACCAAACAGCTTTGGCTACTCTTTGTATACATGTTTACATTTAATCCTGTAAAAGACACTGGGCATGGGTCAATATCAGGTCAAGAGATATTGAGTGTAAGCTAACGTGGATATATTGAAAATTACACCGATTACTGAATTTAGTCTTTGGAGGGGTGAGGTGGGGGGGGGGTTGATGGGATATAATGACTGCATCGTGATATGATATCAGAACACATAACTTGAACAGAGACCTATATTACCTTACCTGACCTAACCAAGGAGGGACCAGAAGATATCATAAGTCAATGTTATTCTGTGCTGGAAGTAGTTCTCTTTCGTTCCTGTTAAATTGAGGTTTTTTTATTGGGCCATACATAATTTCGATTCGTGATCAATTTGTTATGAAAATAAAAGAACTGTTTGTACAGTAAAATATTCATATTTAATGATATGACGGATCCTCATTCTTAAAAGCCATACAATTTAACGAAATTAACAACATCATGCACGTGATTAATGATTAAATACCAGCATATGTTGTCTAATTACAGAGACAAGTGAAGGAGGTATACAAATCGATTTCATTGATTACATTGAAGATGTCTTACTTGACAGATGTGGGTTAATCCAGGTGTTGATGCCGTATCTTCTATCACGTTGTTCCCAAGGTCATGAATTAATTACAGTAGATCACACATCGAAGACCAATAGAATAGTGTCTCGGCACGTACGTCCTGGAACGCTACAGTTCAAGTGCTATCCCATGCTGATTAACTATTTTATACAACCCTTATATTTCGTGACCATGGTTATTGGTACTTGAATTTTAAAAGAAATGTTGAAACACGTGCAAGTATCGGAACGATCTAACTTCGACGCGGTCAGTGCAGTAGATAAGATAACTAATTAAATCATTTTCAGGAGGATATAATTATTATTTAAATATATATCTTTAAAAGTACTGCATGTGAAAAAGTTGACTGATAAAGCTTACATAATTAATTTTAGGTGCAAGGTGTATATAAAACGTCGCCTCGGTTTCACTTGTTGCATGTCGCCGAACCTAAGAAAGCAAACGTTTTAGCAAATGAGACTGGTAGTGATTAGAGTCTGATAAATAATTCGGTTTTCACGGATCCCTCGACCTGCAAAATCCTGTTACTGCTAGGGGAATATTCCAAAGTGGTAAGTAAAGAGAATAATCAAGTATTCGGATAATGTCTGTTCCGAATCGAGACGACAGGGACCATATACCGTCGCACATTCCACCAACTTTTCAATAAGCTAGTGCTGATTGATTTCCATGGATGTTTCTGTACATGTTAACACGTAACATAAGTTCGGGATTGTCAAATCGACCCCATTTCGTTACAATATGGTCGCCATTTGGTTCAACCAAGTTTACACGTGATTAGGAGAGTACGCGGAATGACTTGTCGATTCGATAGTCACCCAGTACACTAAACACTTCGGTGTACGTATGCATTATTTGGCGAGAAATGGCGGAGTGAAGTCAATGTTTCATCACACATTAATTTCTGCATCACAATTTTACATACTTTAATAATCAGAAGAAATAAACATATCCATACTTTACACCAAACCTAAATATTTTATTTAATGTAGATGTGGAATCAGATGATAATGATGGACGGAGGGTCTACTTTTGCTGACGGAAACTGCAATAAGTTATTACTGAGTTGTTAACAAAATTCATAATGTACTGAACAAATTGATATACAAAATGTAAAATTTTCTGATCTAATTTGCTCATTAATGTCATCAAATTACTAAATTCATATTAATATTAATAAGAGATAAACCAAGACACGACTTGACCTACCTAGGTAATTCATTGCCATTAAATACACGTTATAGACATAAGACATATTCTTTTTTACATTCTACTCACGGATTTCAACAGGCATAAGTTCATTCTTTTCAATAAAATCACTTTTCTGAAGCTGAAGTAGTCACTCACTGAAACATGATTAATTACGTCCACTGAGAATTATTTGAGCCAGTTGATTTTCTCACTAAGATGTCTAATGATATCGATCTTGCCATTTACATAGCCGACCCACAAATGGCCTTGACTATCTATAGCAAGTGAGGTAGGCCGAGTACATTCGTTAAATAGAGTACCAAGCAACTGACCTTCAGCATCCAACACCAGCACCGCTTTCCGGTTATGCTCAGCAATAATGATATTGTTACTGGGGTCGAAACACGCGTCTACAGGAATAAAGCGGTTGTCGTTAATTGAACAGGAAGCTGTCACGGTGGCGCTGGTCGTTTCACGTGGTGAAGCTGAAGAATTAAAATCGTGAATATTAGCTGCCGTGTAAGTGATTTTGCCATCAAACAGAAACCGAAGATTCAGTTCTTTATCGACCACAACAATTGACGACGGGCCCTGTCGATTGATAATGATGATGTCGTCATTGCTTTCGTTAGCCCTGACTTTCCAAGGATTGCCAATAAGGGGTCTGTGACGTCCTTTGCCGTCCAGACATTCAAGTACGTTCCCCTTAGGGTCAATCAGAGCCACCCTGGACGTTAGGTAATGACAGACGACAGTGTTACCAGTACTTAACTGGCACAAACTGGTCAAATCCTCGTCCGTTTCGAACTTGACTACTGATTTGTCAACGGCCAACATCTGCCTCACGACGCTGTCGGTGCACGTGACAAGTATTCCATCAGTCCGGTCAACAGAAATGTCCACTACAGCACGTGGGAACCCAGACGTTTGAACCACCTTTCCGAACCTAGAGACCATTTTAATTGCCCGAAACACGTGTTTACCTTTCTGTCGTGCAATCCATGCACACTCACCTGAGGACAAAGGGCAAATTGAAATGACTTCATCTCCGCCTTTGACCTTAAAGGTGTGCAGAACTTCGAGTATGTCTTGCGTTTCTGCAGGAGTAGTTTTGACTGGCGGAACTCCATCCTCCTCACTGCCAACATCTATACTGCTTCTACCTTCATTTAAGCCTTCCCGCTCAAACATGTCGTCCCTCTGCTCAGTACTGATGTCAGGCTCCTTATGTGTATCCTCTGCTTTATGTTTCGATACTTCGGTCTCTTTGACATAAGTTTGCACATTTTCTTTCGGATGTTCTTTGGACACATCATTTTGTTCTACAACTTCCTTTGTTGAACCGTCGGTGACTTCCCTTGCTTCCTGTGTAGTAGGCACAGAATGGAATAATGCATTCGATTTCGCGTTGTAGTTTGCTTCTACGCCAATGTTTTCTGTTACGTTAGAATGGCCAAACTGTTCGTCCAGTGTACCATCAGGAAAATCTTGTTTAATTGTCTTTACGTCAAATGGTATAGACGCTTCTCTTAAAGGGTTCTCTACAGTTCCCGATGCGAGAGAATCTTCCTGACCTGATTTGATTTCTATGCTCTTCACTGATGTTTCGCTGTCACAAACATCCTCTTTTGACTCCGCATTCCCAACCAAAGAGCGTTCCACTGTGTCTTTCACAATGTTGTCTTTAACTTCAGAAATCATGTCTACGTTATCTTTGACTTTTGAATTATTACTCGTTTTTGAAGAAGCCACTTCTTCATAACTACTTGCGTATGAATATTTAGACTTTTCTGACTCCGCTTCCTCCTCAGTATCTCGCAACATGTTTCCATCATCCTCTTTTCCAAGGATCTCGGAAGTGTCTGTCATATCTAGAGTTTCCTCTACGAAATCTTCTGCAGCTGATTTCTCGACTGATTTGTTGTCTTTATCAGATGGATCTTTTGCACCCGATTCCGGTTTGGATTCGTCAGGGGTATGTAAAATTCTCTCGTATACAACTATTTTCTGACCCGGTACGGAGTCAACATTTGCCGAAATCATTTCGTCTTCCGAATCAACAGCACCATGTACCGACTTTGATGGTTCTGAAATCTTTTGCTCGGACAGGTTGTCAGAATCAGCAGCACTTGCTGACATGTCATAATTAATTGTAGAATTTCCTACTGAATCTTCGGCTTTGTCGTCCAGGTCTTCAAAATCTCCATGATCACTTTTCGCGCTCGTTTCAAAACTTTTCTCCGAAGCAATA